TGTTGACTACTTTTCTTGGACTTGTCAGGATATTTCTCTGTTTAATCTTTTTCCTACAGTAAATCTACGTTGTTCTTATGACCTAAAATTCCTAAATACTTTTGCGTTTAATCCATTTGTTTTTTACCACTTCACCAAACTCTTCCGCATGCTATTACGGCATTTTAAAATTAATTATATGGAGCTCTTCATCAAGGAAGCATTAGCTGGATTTATTTACAACTGATGGTTTTGTAACTTTGCCGGGTTTAATATTATGATTGATTTTTTTGGACTTAATTTGCCCAATGACATTAACGAGAAGTTGCGCTAAAGAATAGATAATTCAGAGCACTTTCAGGAATCCATGCTAATTAGCAAGTATGGTCGCAGCTGGTTTTTAAATCATAAACAAGAGATTATGTTGAATTATAGGGGGGATTCGGAAGAAAAGAATATCTTAACCATTCGCATGAGTTTTCATGTTTTTGCCATCTAGTTTAAATTGAATATATCATTTTTATATAGTAGATATAAAGACTAAACTGCTTTGTCCCGGCCTTATTTAGCTATATAATGTTGGTTTGACATCTTCGCAACTTGGTCGGAGCGACAAAAACCTTGTATAAAGTACCCATTCATGTGTACATTGGGAGCTTACCAAGTCAAAGGTCCTGTGCTGGAAATCGTGAGTACTGTGGTAGAGGACGCAGGACTAAGTACGTTATACAATGTTTCTCTGCCCCTTTGACCAAGTCTCGAAAACGAGGTCAAACCAACAAAATCTTTTTTCGGTTTATCCGAACTCATCACCATGTTCCTGTGCACATATGCCTATTCTAAAATTGATTTTAAATTCCTAGATCTACTATAGTCGATTTTTATTTACTATTAAATCTATCCTATAATTAATTTTTATATTTCAGGTGCAGACAGGTGAAGAGGAGGAAATATGTTTGTTTCAAAAGCGATGTAAGCTTTTCCGTCATCTCGGTAATGAATGGAAAGAGCGTGGTCTTGGCACTATCAAAGTGCTCGTTCGCCCCGCAGATACTACTGCTCTAGCTGGTATACACATGGATCTGCGTGCTGTCCTCCCTGGTGACATTCCTGCTAATTCTCTTCCAGCTATATCCTCACGACTTTTGATGCGCCGCGAGCAGGTCCTCAAAGTCTGTGTTAATCAGCCTATTACTGCTAAGGGAGTTCCCAAACTGCAACCGATGAGAAGCCAGATTGACGCCAACTCTCTCTGTTGGTCAAATGTTGATTATAGTGATGTGAAAGATGGAGAGATGTCTACCTATGCCGTTCGGTTTAAGGTAAACTCCTGTAGGATTTTTATTTTCCCCTTATTTATATAAGAGCTCTATTCACTATATTTTTTTATGATAAGGGTAGTCTCGTAAGCCTACTTGCAAACTGAAAGCCAGTTATGGAGTTGGAGTCATGGCTTTGAAACTGAAGTTATTCTACTACCTAATCGAGTCATATCTTTGGATTATGTATTGAGACCGATTAAAAGATGCCATACAGAAGAAATGTGGTGTCAATGTTTTATAGTGATCGGATGTACAAAATCGGATGATATCAATATAAATGAAATTTTAATGTATCGATGATAAGGGGTGCCTTTGAGGGAGGCTAGTGGTAAATGGAGAGAGGGCAAATGAGAGAGCTTTCTCGAGTGGTGTATACATATGCGAGATGCCATGACGGAACACGGCAGAGGATTAACACGGTCAGGAGGCGTTGCTTTTGATTTAGTCTTGCAGCAAGGTATCTGTGCTTATACGAAGCAAGTGTGGTGTGAGAGAAATGGCACGCATTAATGGTGGTTTAGGGAGAGGCGAGCGATTAACATTTAACAAAAAGGATGGTACTGTAGATAATACGACTACGTTGGTAACATTCCTTTGCGTTTCGATGATGCGTAACACTGACCGTATGAGTATGTATGACGCACCATAGTGGCACTAGAACAACAATCGCTCGCAACAAAAATCCGTTCTGGAAGAGGGAGTTCTGCCCAATTTCCTGAATGAGTCCGAATTAGATGCTTTTACATATAGTTCTTGTTTAAGGTGGCTATATAAGAATAAAAGTTGTCTCTAGTACTCTCTTGGTCTACGATTGTTGTTCTCATTTATTTAGGATGAAAGTATGATGAATAAACTCTATGGTCGATGTCATCAAAAAAACGGCGGATCGCTTCTTGCTTAATCTGGTTTTGCTTTACTGGAATATTCTGATTTACACTGTTCCTGAGAGAATTTTCTTCGATTCTACTCTAAGAGTGCTAGCCCTTTTTCCGTGATATGATTAATATTCTGGTCGGCCAGAGATCATTTGCCGTCGCCTTT